TTTTTCTTATCTTTTGTACCATATGATCATGAGACTAGTTTTCTTAATAGTCTTCATTTGATTATGCTACTCCATTGCCCAGAAATTAATATCACCTTACATAATTTATTTTCTATTATTCTAAATTAATCAGCCTAATATTTGGCACTCCCCAATAGCTTCATCGCTAGCTCTTTAATAATTTCTGTTATTTTCTGGTGCTAGGCCCGTCTCAACTAGCCATTTGCACATTCTCATACTTTGCTCCCATTTGTCTCTGATACAAAATGTTGTTCACATTAGTTTCCATCAATGTGCAGTCTCCATCCACGTGCTTCTCTGCCTTCTACCCTCACAGCACATCTTTCCTTCGGCAGAAAACCTCCATGGGTGGCCCTACCAGGCTCTCTATACCTGTCTCCCCAATACCCTTTCGTATCTCCTTTAAACATTATATTAATGGCATCCCCATTCGAATTAATAGAGATATTTGATAAACATATACTTTGGGCAATTCATGTATGTGCCTCTGTCTCCATAGCTAATTTATAAATCACTTTAAAGCAGAATATCATATTTCACAGAACAGCGTAGCTGTTTTGCATCTAAAAGATCGACTTTTCATTTTACAAGTGAAGTAACTGTAGATCAGAGCTTTTAAGTTACTTATCAGAGGTTATGTGTCTAATTAATAACAAAACTAAGACTCCAGTTCCCAAGTTGCTCCTGGCACTTCTGGAACAAGTCTCTTTCACTTTTCTAATTTCTTCTGCCTCCCAACATGTAGGAGATAACCCTTCTATAAGTCAAGTCGTCTCAGATGAGGCATGCAGAGGCATCGGCAGCAGACTGATAGCTCCTGGAGGGAACAAGACTGGGATTAGGGCAAAGAGCACAAAATCTCCTGTAGGGCCAATCCCAGGGGCAAAGAGTAAATTAAATCCTAGGCAAGTGAGAAGAGCTTAGATGCAAGGCTTCTGTTGTGGCAGGGGAGTTGCAGTTCACCCAAGAAATCTGAAGTAACTGAAGCTTAATGACTTAGCATAATGAGCTTGTTGGGGAAGAACGAAGGAAGGTGACTCCTGGCTGAAAGTACAGTTTACCAGACACGAAAAAGCAAGGTCGACACTGTTATCTAACAGACTAAATCACTCCTTTTCACTGTCAGTCTTGAACCAGACAGGCATAATCTAGATAGAAGGAGTCTCTATTGTAAAAGTTTGAGGGAACCAAGGTTAATAATAGTAATTTCTACAAAAAGAGTTTGCACTTAACAAATGCCATCAATTTGTATTACTGCTCAAGATGATAGATGGATAGATAGATGGATAGATGGATGGATGGATGGATGGATGATGAATGGATGGATGGATGGATAGATGAATAGATGACAGGGAGAGAGAGAGA